GGGGGGAGCGAATGGAGCTGAGAGTCGAAATGTGTAATCCCGATCCGTTGCGTTTCACGGGACGGTGGCTGCTCAGCAGCGGGGGGTATAGGCTAGGCTGAACCTTTTGACGCGGGAGAAAGAATTACAGCAGGCAGACGTGGGGGCAGAGAGAAATTAAAGAGAGGTAGAGCGGAAGAGAGACCTCTCGGGAGGGGAGGAGGCAGCAGGTGGTACTGCACGGGGGCCTAAATGCAGGGTCCAGTCAGGGCCGCGCAAAGTTCGAGCACGCCGATGCGAGGCAGGGGGTCGAGAACGGACGCAGAGGGGGCAAGGGGGAAATTGTCTGGTTTACATTACTTTATATCTGCGGGGAAGCAGGTAATTACACTTTGTAATGAAATTTGCATTTTCAAAGTGGCGATGAGGGCACGACCACGACGCTGCGACGCCTGAGACCCCCCGCCCCGCGCGCGCACCGCGTCCCGCTGCGTCCCGCTCGGCCATGCCCGCGCCAGCCTGGGCCTAGCCTGGCCTGGCCTGGGCACACAAGGTAACAGCATTTGCCCCCCCTCCGACCTAAAAGAAAACTTTTCGCAGAATTCCTGATGACGCCTTTGCCAACAGTTTGAGCAGCGCAGGGCGCAGGGCATGGAAATTACCAAAGCTGCAGCAGCAGCGTCGTCGACCAGCGGGCGATTAGGAAAGAGAGACGATGAGGAAGAGAACGGGGGAAGGACGTGAATGTGGAGGGCGGGCAGCTCCAGGAGGAGCATGGAGAGGAAATCAGGCTAGGTCAGCGTGCGGCTAGCGCTGCATCAGGCGCACGGCACACAGCAGCAGCAGCCTTTACAAAATATTATCTCGACGATCAACTCACTCAGCTCGGCTCACCTCACCTCCAGTGCTAGCACCTGCAGTGCTAGAGCATGGAGGCGGTGGTGGTAGTGTTGATGGAGCGTCAGGAAAAAGGAAGAACAAGGCAAAGGGGGAAGGAGGGTAGGGGTGTTGTGATGGGGTTGAGAGAGAATAAGGGGGAGGGGGGATGGGGGCGTCAAAAAAAGTATAGTGAGGAGGCGAGGTGCTCTATTTTCGAAAAGCAATTAATTACGCGTTTGCTACGTGCGAACGAGCGCGCCTGGGGCTGACGTTGGCAGTCGCGCAGGGCGCAGGCTGCGGAGAGTACGAGGGGGGCGGAGGGAAGGGGGGGGGGGCGAGCCGCGTCAAGCGTATCTGCCGCAGCCATCTTGATGGCCTGGTCGTCTTCGCGGGAGGTGTCTGGTGGGACGAGCCACACACAAACACACACAGAACAGCTCGGGCGGCTGGGGTTGAAGTCCGCAGCACGGCGGCCCTCCGGCACAAGCCGCCCTCCTCCAAAAACGAACACACGGCAAAAAAGAGGGAGAGACGAAAGTCGAGCGCTGAATATAACTGAGAGAAACGACGTGAGATAAGCAACAGCCAGAATGGGCCCGGCGGGAGGGGGTGGAAAGGGGAGAGAGGGCGTCAGCACGACTACTAGGAGAGTGGTGTGTCCGTCAACTCTCGTTTGTTTTTTTCCCTTCCCTCCGGGTCCACCCCATTTACCCGTCTCATCTCTAGCGCCCTTGTTGAAGTGTCCGCCCGGGGGCGGGGCCCAGAGGGCGGAGACGGGCAGGGGAGGCGGCGTCAAGCAGCCGTGCGCGGGGAGTGAGAGGGGGGGGGGGCAGCAGCGCAACATTTTCAGGCGTTTTCACACCCTCTAGATCCCTTCTCCTTTCCCTTTACCCCGCGCTATCTCCACCCGCCACCGCCGTGCACCGCCGTCAGGACCACGGGAGGATCTCTAATCACATACCCCCTGCCCTTGCGAATCGCATCGCGAGGGTTTAGGCTTCCAGGGCGATAGCGCCAGGGTCCGGCCAGGAGCTCGCCCGGAGTCTGCCGCCACCGCTGGAGGCCTATGGCTGCGAGACAGGGGTGTGGGTGGGGGGCGAGGTCTCCACCTCACTCAAGTGAAATAGAGGTGGGCCGCGCTCGAGGAAAAGGGGGGGGGGAGGCAAGACGGCGCCATACATACGCGATGTCACATTGCCTTGTTGCACACGTACCGCCAGCCCCGCCGGGCTCCGTGCGGGGGAATTAAATTACTCTTAATTAAACCATCCGGGGGCGCACCGCCGCCAGCGCCGCCATGTCGCAGCAGCGGACAAAAGTGTTTGATGTGGTTCAACGCCGTGCAGACGTACGCTCCCTGGCACCATAGACTGACGAGTACTCAGAGCAGCCAGGCCCACTACTCCGCGACACGCAACGGCCGGGCTCGAGCTGCCTTGCGGCGTTGGAGGGGCGCGTCACAGCGTCGATACCTTTAAACTTACACTGATGAAGTGTGCAACTGCTTAACAGTTGTTGTAAGAAAACAACTCCGCCGTTGGGCACTTGCAAGTCTCTTATTAAACAGCTGCCTTGAATTGGATGCTTACTGTGTCGAATGTTGGACAGGGGAGTTGCACTCCTGGAAATGCACAACTACCGAGTCAAACACTTCTTGCCAGTAACAAACGACTACGCATTTCATCACTTGCAAGTATTCAACTTGCACTTATTTTATCAGTGTAACCCGTTACCGATAATGGTCAAATTTACATTCTCTCGATGATTTTCATTTTCAGTGTCTTATTTTATTGGACTAGGTAGATGTACGCCAGACCACGTCTCGCTTAACTGGCTTCGCGATATCTCACGAAACACTGTTACGCTGCGACGCGCCTGGCATACACCTACCTAGGCCTGCGGCGCTGACACCCGAGTCGGGCAAAAGGCAGAGTCGTAGGCCTTTGGCTCCAAAGGATGCAAATTTTACCCCCGGGATTTTATGTTGATGAGTTGCCCCACCAGAGACCATCAAATATGTGAGAAACAACATTGAAATGGTTTGGGGTCATTTTCGTGTGGAAATCGCCCTCTTGCGACTAAACGGTTAGAGATAGAGCCAAACGGACAAAATTTTGGTCCGGAGGACTCTACTCTGACGAGTTACGTCTAAGAAAGATGTAAAAAAAAAAGAAAGTAATATTTCGGGTTTTTCGTTTTTGATTTTTTGACAGGTCAATTTTTAAGCTAGAGGGCTCCAAATCAATACAGTTCCTTCTTTTTATGCTACAAAGCTACACTAAAAATTTCAGGTACCTAGCTCAAACCGTTCTCGAGTTATCGTGTTTACAGACAAACAGACACACAGACACGAAACTTTTTGATCATCACTGGAGTAATAGGCTTCGCTATCGCTCAGCCAATGAGCCTTTGTGCAATTAAGAACCACAAACAATAGTAAGAAAAATGTTAATTTATTTTTCTATAACATGGGTAAACAGTATCTATCCTAGACGAAGTGGAGATATGCCCCGTTCGCGCTGGAAATCATAATCACTGTGCCACGCCGCGTCACCCGCTTCTGTTCACTGATTTGCTTCCAGCTCGTTCCAGCTCCAGTCATGCGTACTGTGTGTTGAGGGGTACCGAACCACACTGTTAGAAAAAAAATGTGATTTTACAACACTTTTACCATACGAAGACATCTGAAAATCACAATACTTTTCTGGGAACCAAAATCCAAACACTTCTTCGTAATTTTCCAGAATATCTACGTGTTTTTCTTTTCCAGTATTCCTTTATCTACTCTACAAAGAACCTTCGTTTACTCCATGGAAACTACGGAATTAAGAAACTCCAACATGTCTCCGTTAAATTCTAGAAAAAAATATAAATGGGTCGGTTTAATTTACATCAATAGCAAATACAGTAGGCTATTATTTATTGAATCTGCATCCCAGTTGACAAAACTTTTTCAACATCACACCATTCAGTTTTAAGATGCAAGAAAACGATACTTTGTTGGGAATTCGGAAATGTTCTCTGGAAATTTGAAACCAACGGTTTGATGTAAATTCACAAAGTTTCTTAGTAGCCCATAGTTTACCAATAAATGTCGTTATGTCCTTAAAAATTTAACAAAGAGATTTGAAAACTTTTTTCACGTAGAATTTTTCGTGAAGTTCTAATTATTTTTTTTAACAGTGCAGTCTCGTATCATGCGGTGCGGATGGTGACCCGTCTTCGCAGATTTCTCTGGCCAGGTGGATACAGAGCTGCGCTGCGGTGTGTAAGTTTCGTGGGTCGATGCCACCTCGAGTCGGCCGCTTGTTTCTCGCGCCACTTGAGTTTTGGTCACTATTTAGAGATTATTTTGTAATTAACTTGTCGTCAAACTGACCACTCCCATGGCAAATTAATGACAAAACAAACGAATTTATTTTGTCATTATTTCGATTTGGTTTACTGATGTATCACAAATAACAAACATGTGACAAAATTGAGCTCTTACAGGCCATACGGGAGATACACTGCACGTCTGCACGACTATTGTTGAAGTACATGTGGGCAGCGTATAATTAGTAAGGGAGAATACTAATAGGTGCAAGGTTTTATTTTTATGCACTAAATTACCGTTACATTAAATACAAGAACTCAATACAAAATCAACATGACAGACGGGCTGTCGAGTCGTCAGTTTTACATCGTCCTTCGGCCTACATTAAGCAGACGTGAAACTTTCAACCATACAACAAATACCCTGCCCAAGCAAAAGTCAGATTTATCCATGGCTATTAACAGTTAATCACATATTCACAGGTCCGCAGCAGTACAGTGTGTTTTTTTGTGACGACTGAGATTTGATTTGTGACCAAAGCACTGTTTACAAATGTCACACCCATGTGGTTTCTCCCCGGTGTGGGTCCTGACGTGGGAATCAAGAGTGGTTTTTAAAATAAAACGCCTTTTACAAACGTCACATTCAAAAGGTCTCTCGCCTTTATGGGTCCTAATGTGGCGACTAAGCGCGTCCTTCCTGCTGAAACGCATGTTACAAACGTCACATTCATATGGTTTCTCGCCGATGTGGGTCCTGACGTGACAAATGAGAGTGGATTTCTGGATGAAACGCTTGTTACAAACGTTACATTGAAATGGTTTCTCGCCTGTGTGGGTCCTAATGTGGTCACTAAGCGCGCCCTTCCTCCTGAAACGCATGTTACAAACGTCACATTCATATGGTTTTTCGCCGGTGTGGGTCCTGACGTGAGAATCAAGAGTGGATTTCTGGCTGAAACGCTTGTTACAAACGTTACATTGAAATGGTTTCTCGCCTGTGTGGGTCCTGACGTGGGAATCAAGAGTGGATTTCAAAAGAAAACGCCTCTTACAAACGTCACATTCAAAAGGTCTCTCGCCTGTGTGGGTCCTAATGTGGTCACTAAGCGAGCCCTTCCTGCTGAAACGCATGTTACAAACGTCACATTCATATGGTTTCTCGCCGGAGTGGGTCCTGACGTGAGAATCAAGAGTGGACTTCAGGATGAAACGCTTGTTACAAACGTTACATTGAAATGTTTTCTCGCCTGTGTGGGTCTTGACGTGGTAATCAAAGCTATCTTTGAAGCTATACTGCTTCCCGCATTCCCTACACTTGTACGTCTTTTTGGCGCTCTGGCGACGCCTCTTCTGCGCTCGAACTCCTGGCTTCCCCCTGTCGGAATCCTCCTGGTCACCGGAGCCGCATCTGTCCTTGGCCGCCTCCTGTCCGCCGTCCTGGGGGTGCTGCTCCAGGGCCCCGTCATCCTCGTGCCCCCCGTCACTACCCGCGTCGCCCTCC